GTACTTGTAACCAAGACTAAGTCTGGTCACTATAACATCAGTCAGTACTTGTAACCAAGTCTAAGCCTGGCCACTACAAATCAGTCAGTACTTGTAACCCAAGATAAGCCTGGCCACTACAACACAGTCAGTTCTTGAAAACCAAGACTAAGCCTGGCCACTAAAACATCATCAGTACTTGTAACCAAAGACTAAGCCGGGCCATACAACTCATCAGTACTTGAAACCCAAAGACTAAGTCTGGCTACACAACCAGTCAGTACTTGTAACCAAGACTAACCTGGTCACTAAAAACATCAGTCAGTATTTAAACCCAAAGCCAAACCTGGCCACTAAAAATCAGTCAGTACTTGTAACCAAGATAACCCGGGCCCCGCTACAACATCAGTCAGTATTTGTAACCAAAACTAACCTGCCCTAAAAACATCAGTCAGTACTTGTAACCAAACAAAGCCTGGCCCTACAAATCAGTCAGTATTGTAACCCAAGATAACCCGGGCCCACTACAACATCAGTCAGTACTTGTAACCAAGTAAGCCGGGCCCCTTCAACATCAGTCAGTACTTTAACCAAGACAGCCTGGCCACTACAACATCAACAGTACTTGTAACCAAGACAAACCCGGGACACTACAACATCAGCAGTACTTGTAAAAAAGCCAAAAAGCCTGGCCACTACAAATCAGTCAGTACTTGTAACCAACCAAAGCCGGGCCCATAAAATCATAGTACTTGAATAAAGCCTGCCTGGCCACCAACATCAGTCAGTCTTGAAACCCAAAAACCCCAAAGCCTGGCCATAAACTCAGTCATACTTGTAACCAAGCCTAAGCCTGGCCATAAACATCAGTCAGTACTTGTAAAACCCAAGCTACCACTACAACATCATCGTACTTGTAACCAACCCTAAGTTGGCCATACAACACAGTCAGTACTTGTACCAAGCCAAACCCGGCCACTACAACATCAGTCTACTTGAAACCAACCCAAACCGGGCCCACACAACATCAGTCAGTACTTTTTAACCCAAGGCCTAATTGGCCACTAAAAACATGCCAGAAAATGTAACCAAGCCTAACCTGCCAAAACAAAATCAGTCAGTATTAAAACCCAAAGCCAAATCTGGCCATTAAAACATCAGTCAGTATTGTAACCAACCCAAGCCGGGCCCTACAACATCAGTCAGACCTGTAATAAGCCTAAGTCTGGCCCTACAACATCATCAGTACTTGTCCAAACTAACCGGGCCACTACAAACCAGTCGAATTGTAACCAACCCAAAAGCCTGGCCACTACAACATCAGTCAGATTTGAAACCCAAAGCCTAACCCTGGCCACTACAACATCATCAGTACTTTGTAACCAAGCCTAAGCCTGGCCACTAAAAACTCAGTCAGTTTTTAAACCCCAAGACTAAGCCTGGCCACTAAAACAGCAGTCAGTACTTGTAACCAAGATAAGCCTGGCCACTACAACATCGTTAGATTGTAACCAAGCAAGCCGGCCCTACAACAGCGTCAGTACTTGTAACCAAGTTAAGTCTGGCTCTAAACACATGTTCACATTGCACTTCCCTCCAAAAAACATATTTTATCTCTTCTGTTATCATAGGGGGTTATAGATCTATTTGGGGCTTCTAACTGCATTCTATAACAATCATTTCCATTATTTACTTCTCCCCCAAATATTATTCCTAAAGCTAGACACTTATACCAAAGTTATATTACGTTCTCCTTCTTTGGGATCTTTTTGGGTAACATATCAACTTTAAACTGAAGGAGTAATCCAATGTGTGTGGGATCCATAGCAACTTACATTTAATTCCTTTGTCCCTAATTTTTAGATCTATACCTGGTTCTCCAATGACATGTTTATTGGGGTCATTTATATCAAGGCCCTTTAATGATACATGAATCAGTAATGATGATAGAGTCAAGCTCAGTTCATAGGTTAGCTTTGCGCCCTTAGGGGTTGCAAACAATTTCAGTTTGCAGTGTAGCGCCCAGTTGTTAATTTTTATGCCTAATCAACAAATTTGCTATGTTGTTAAGTAGGGAGGTAGCAACAAAAAGGGAGATGAACCCTGCCAGTGACACTGCTGGATGTAGCAAAAAAAAGCAATGTAGCCCGCCAGTAACTCCTGGGGATGTAGCAACAAGAGCAGATGTAGCCCTGCCAGTAACTACTGCTGGATGTGCAACTAGAGCAGATGTAGCCCTGCCAGTAACTCCTGCGGGGATGTAGCAGCAAGAGCAGATTTTTACCCCTGCCAGTAGACTCCTGCGGGAGGTTGCAAAAACCCAGATGCAGCCCCCCAGTAGACTACTGCTGGGTGTGCAAAAGAGCAATGTACCCCGCCAGTAGACTACTGCTGGTTTGTGCAACAAGACAGATTTTAGCCCTGCCGTAAACCCTGCTGGAGGGGGCAATAAGACCGATTAGCCCTGCCAGAAGACTTGTTTAGATCCATCGTTTTAATCCCTTTGATAGCTTATTACTACCAAATAGGTTATTACTACCAAATGGGTTATTATACCAAAAACAGTAACCCTGCCCCCCAGTCCCCACTACACAAAACCTGACACAGACCTTTCAAATCCAACCATAAATTTGGGAAATGTTTTTTAAATCTATTTTTATGTTCCCCAAGTAAAGCTTTTACAATTTTTTACTTATGTACAAGTTAAATTAGGTTAGGTTCGTCAGGAAAAAAGGGAAAAAAGGGTTCCAGACGTGGGTCTTAAAATGTGACCCCCGTTGGGGCTACACAAGTTGATTGTTCTACCATAAGTATTACACACTACATTTTTTTACTACCATAATACCCCTAGTATTACACCTCACACTAAGGGTATTTTTACCCTCTGTGTCCTGTATTTTGTGTAGGCTTTACAAAGCTCTGGAGAGCGAAACGTTGCCCCCAAAAAAAAATGTACATTACATTTCTGTCCTTTTACTTTACAAAGATAACGGTTGAGACACTTATGCAACATTGGGAATCTTTATTGAAGAAAATTTCGCCACACAGTGGGTTCATTAGTCCAAAACAAACAGAAGGTGTAGGGGAGGGGGAGTTTTAGGTAATCGTCCTCAAAACCCGGAGTCGAGTGTTCAGTCCATCAATTTGTAGAAAGTCAGCACGGGTTGTAGGTGGGGTTATAACTGTAGTGAGGTAGGTGAAGCGGAGGAGGCGGCCCTATAGCGGACCTTTCCCCTAGTCGAAGTAGTGAGGTGAGGTGAAGCGGGGAGGCGGGGTCATAGTGGACCCTCCACGTAGAAGTAGTGAGGTGAGGTGAAGCAGGAGGAGGCGGCGTCAATGGGGACCATCTACTAGTCGAAGTAGTGAGGTGAGGTGAAACAGGCGGAGGGGGGTATAGTGGTCCATCCCAGTCGAAGTAGTGAGGTGAGGTGAAGCAGGAGGAGGGGGCGTCATAGTGGTACCATCCACTAGTCGAAGTAGTGAGGTGAGGTGAAGCAGGAGGAGGCGGCGTCATAGTGGTACCATCCACTAGTCGAAGTAGTGAGGTGAGGTGAAGCAGGAGGAGGCGGCGTCATAGTGGTACCATCCACTAGTCGAAGTAGATCTTCGACTTGTGGATGGTCAGAAAAATGGCCAATGATTTCATGTTACCCAAGGTTTTCACTTAAAAATTCCTACTAGAAAGAGTTTCACTAGTGTACTTCCCAATTTTCGAACAAGGGACTGATTTTCGAACAGAAGATTCTGCAGAATCTTCACGACTACAAAGAATTTTTCAACCTTGTCCAACCTTTGTCGAAGATCTACTTCGACTAGTGGATGGTACCACTATGACTCTGCCTCCTCCTGCTTCATCTCACCTCACTACTTCGACTAGTGGATGGTACCACTATGACCCCGCCTGCGCCTGCTTCACCTCACCTCACTACTTCGACTAGTGGATGGTACCACTATGACTCCGCCTCCTCCTGCTTCATCTCACTCACTACTTCGACTATGGATGTACCACTTGACCCGCCTGCGCCTGCTTCAACCTCACCTCACTACTTGAACTAGTGGATTTTCCCACTATGACCCGCTCCGCCTGTTCACCTCACCTCACTACTTCGATAGTGTGTACCAAACTAGACGCGCCTCCTCCTGCTCACCACACCTCACTACTTCTACTAGTGGATGGTACCACTATGACGCCGCCTCCTCCTGCTTCACCTCACCTCACTACTTCGACTAGTGGATGGTACCACTATGACGCGCCTCCTCCTGCTTCACCTCAACTCACTACAGTATATAAGCCACGTCTACGACCCCATGCTGTACATTCTACAAGATTGATGGACTGAACACATCGACTCCAGGCTGAGGGACTGATTACCTCAAACTCCTCCTCTCCTTATACCTTTCTGATTTGTGGCGAAACATTTCTTCGATAATGATTCCCAGTGTTGCGTAAGTGTCTCAATTTTCAACTTGTCAATTTTAAACCATTTATCACATACTTTACAAAGGTGTTAGAAAAAAGTAACACGCGATCTATCAGCAGACTTGACGAGTCTAGAAGCAAGTAACACCCGATCTATCAGCAGACTTGACGAGTCTAGAAGCAAGTAACACCCGATCTATCAGCAGACTTGACGAGTCTAGAAGCAAGTAACACCCGATCTATCAGCAGACTTGACGAGTCTAGAAGCAAGTAACACCCGATCTATCAGCAGACTTTAGGTTACAGACAGTGTGATTTTTACTAGTAACAAGAAGGCATTCACAAATTAATAACTAAATAAGTCATTCGTAAAAGCTATAAATCACTACATGACAATATATAATGTTAAAAAAATCACTTTTGGGAAATTATTTGAACTAAAATTATTATATATAATGAAAAAACAGATGAGAAGCAATTAAATCGAGATGATATATACACCGAGAGGTGTATATATATGTATATATTCACACTGATAATTTATATTAACCACTATTTTAGCGATTGTTTTCTTGGCAGGTAATGTAAAGGTAATAAGCAGTTTTAATATGTGTGTCGGAGACAGGATTTATATGTCCAGTGGTGCCTCGGTTTACCACCGTATTCATTCCAGAAGGCTGTTCGAGTGCCGATACTGAACGAATTTGTTCCCATAAGGAATAATGTAAAGTAGAATAGTCTGTTTCAGACCCCCAAAAATACACTTAGAAAACCACTTACAAAAATACACTTACATAATTCTTTGAGTTGGGAACTGTTCGAATCCCGAGGCACCACTGTAACTAATTATAAAGATACAGTAAAAATACATAGTTTTCTATACTTATTGGCACTCTGGTATACCGGTGCCAGATCAGTATTAGGTAAAAGTATCAGTGAGGTGCTGCACAGTATAATATTGAATACAATCTACTCCTGCCCACATTAAAAGGTCTTTTTAAGTGTTCTTCATTTTCCCTTCACTGCTGAAGAGTTTAGCAGTGATGACTCGGTAGATGTGACGCAGAATGAATATCAGGACAATCAGAGCCAGGTAGAGTAGGAAGATCACGTCCAGCATGAGGAACTCCACCCAGGAGAGCTGCGCCGCTGGTGACCTCAACTGGGGAGCACCTCTGTGACGGATGACGTACTCCGTCCAGAACACTGCCAGTTCCCTGGGTGGTACAGGCTGATCCCGCAGCAGCACTGACATCCTCAACACGTTTTCCTGATACCTGTGAACAGGTACAGTGACCAAATCTTAAACATCAACATAAGTTACAGAACACAAGAAGTGGTGACATCACCCACATAAGATACAGAACACAAACAGAGGTAACATCACCCACATAAGTTACAGAACACAAACAGAGGTAACATCACCCACATAAGTTACAGAACACAAACAGAGGTAACATCACCCACATAAGTTACAGAACACAAACAGAGGTAACATCACCCACATAAGTTACAGAACACAAACAGAGGTAACATCACCCACATAAGTTACAGAACACAAAACAGAGGTAACATCACCCCACATAAGTTACAGAACACAAACAGAGGTAAAAATCACCCACATAAGTTACAGAACACAAACAGAGGTAACATCACTCACATAAGTTACAGAACACAAACAGAGGTAACATCACCCACATAAGTTACAGAACACAAACAGAGGTAACATCACCCACATAAGTTACAGAACACAAACAGAGGTAACATCACCCACATAAGTTACAGAAACAAACAGAGGTAACATCACCCACATAAGTTACAGAACACAAACAGAGGTAACATCACCCACATAAGTTACAGAACACAAACAGAGGTAACATCACCCACATAAGTTACAGAACACAAACAGAGGTAACATCACCCACATAAGTTACAGAACACAAACAGAGGTAACATCACCCACATAAGTTACAGAACACAAACAGAGGTAACATCACCCACATAAGTTACAGAACACAAACAGAGGTAACATCACCCACATAAGTTACAGAACACAAACAGAGGTAACATCACCCACATAAGTTACAGAACACAAACAGAGGTAACATCACCCACATAAGTTACAGAACACAAACAGAGGTAACAGTTATTTAGTTTTACAAATATAATCACTGAAATTCGACCGTTTTAATTCAAGACTGATGAGGATTAGAATTAAAGTGAAATATGAAAAGGGATTATTGTATGTATAAACATGCAGGTTCAATCCCCGCCCTTAAGTAGGTTGGTAGGTAAGACACATAGGCAACAGTTAGGCAACTTTATTCCGAAACGTTTCGCCTACACAGTAGGCTTCTTCAGTCGAATACAGAAAGTAGGCAGGAACAGTAGAGATGTGAAGACTATGGAACAATGCTCTTCTCCAGACTGAGGGTCTGACCACCTCAAAACTTTAAGGGTGATGGACTGATTACATCATCTTCAAGTCTCTTCTGTTCCTGCCTACTTTCTGTATTCGACTGAAGAAGCCTACTGTGTAGGCGAAACGTTTCGGAATAGAGTTGCCTAACTGTTGCCTATGTGTCTTATCTACCAGGTTAAATGATGCACAAAAGTCTAGAGAGTGGAGAAACGATGGAAGAAACAGACGAATTCAGTATAATGTGATCCTTTATTGACAACGTTTCGCTCACACAGTGGACTTTATCAAGTTACAAACAGATCTAGAGTATATACAGGAAGTATAGTGAAGGGTCAGGTTAGTAGTGTTGAATGTTGTCAGCAATATACAGGGTGGAGCAGAGAAAACCCACGTTTTTTAAACGCCTAGTACTCGGCGGCGGGTCGTGGTAATGACCATGAAGATGGTCATTACCACGATGGAGAGCTCAGATTATGCAGCTTCAGTAGTCATGGAGCTTAGTCTCTCGTTTGTTTACCGTCGTGCAGCAGAGGGTCGTTCATGGTCATTACCACGACCCGCCGCCGAGTACTAGGCGTTTAAAAAACGTGGGTTTTCTCTGCTCCACCCTGTATATTGCTGACAACATTCAGCATTACTAACCTGACCCTTCACTATACTTCCTGTATATACTCTAGATCTGTTTATAACTTGATAAAGTCCACTGTGTGAGCGAAACATTGTCAATAAAGGATCACATTATACTGAATTCGTCTGTTTCTTCCATCGTTTCTCCACACTCTGGACTTTTGTGCATCATTTAACCTCTTCTGTCTGAATGAACAGACCTGAAATCAACTTCGACAACCTCTACAAGTGAGAACGGCTGGATTTGAGAGGGACCTGACCTCCCAACATCTGTGTTCTTACCTCTACTAGCTACGTCTCACCTCCTGGCGCTATATAAAGCTCCATCCTGTCACTTCAACTCCATATTGTTTCAGACTACGGAACAATACTCTTCTCCAGACTGAGGGACTGACCACCTCAAAACTTTAAGGGTGATGGACTGATTACATCGTCTTCAAGTATCTTCTGCTTCTATCAACTTTTCTGTACTCGGCTGAAGAAGCCTACTGTGTAGGCGAAACGTTCCGAAATAAAGATACCTAACTGTTGCATATGTGTCTTACCTAACAACTCTTCTCTCTACGTACTCAACATTCCATATGACTTTTTCATTTTGCAAAAGCCTCTCGTGTGTTAATTTTGACCTCCCTTACTTTCCTGTTACCCTCATTATTCCACCAGTCATAACATGAGTTTTCTCTGCTCTACCCAGTATACACTCTCCTAGTTTTTATCAAGACTTGAGCCGGGACAAGACTAGCAAACCTGCTACAGACCTTCTTAAAGCTAACTGTGTGGGCAGTGTACTCAATAAGCTTCACATTATGATACATTGTGTGTACGTTTCCATTAGCAAATTTTGATGACGAATTGAGACACTTATGCAACATATGGGAATCTTTATTGAAGGAACGTTTCCCCACACAGTGGCTTCGTCAGTCAGACACTGCAACATCCTGGGATCTTGATATAAAGAATTCTTCAACCTTGTCCAACCTTTGGACGAAGATCTACTTCGACTAGTGGATGGTACCACTATGACGCCGCCTCCTCCTGCTTCACCTCACCTCACTACTTCGACTAGTGGATGGTACCACTATGACGCCGCCTCCTCCTGCTTCACCTCACCTCACTACTTCGACTAGTGGATGGTACCACTATGACGCCGCCTCCTCCTGCTTCACCTCACCTCACTACAGTATATAAGCCACGTCTACGCCCCTATGCTGTACTTTCTACAAGATTGATGGACTGAACACATCGACTTCAGGCTGAGGGATTGATTACCTCAAACTCCTCCTCTCCTTATACCTTTCTGCTTTGTATAGGACTGATGAAGCCAGTGTGTGGCGAAACGTTTATTCAATAAAGATTCCCATATGTTGCACAAGTGTCTCAATTCTTCAACTTGTTGGTTTTCAAAACCATTCATCACAAATTTTGATGACAAAATAATGGTGAGAGATTCAACAGAGAACCTTGAGAACAAGAAAATAAAGGTGAAATTAAGACATGTGCAACATCTGGGTATCTATTGTAGACGTTTCGCCATCCAGTGGCTTTATCAATACAAATTCCAGGACATAACTTGAAGACAGTGGAACTATGTACAGAAGATGAGGTAATCAGTCCCTCAACCTAGGAGTAGGTGCGAAGATCACCGTAGTCGTGGAGATTCTGAAGCAGAAGCAAGGTGCCTGGAGCTTATATACTAACTTCAGGTGGAAATGGGACGTGTAGCAGACGAGGACATAGTCACTGGTAGACGGGATTCCCCAGTGGAAGTAGGTCATACCCAAAGGGATGGGTTAGTTGTAGTAGTAGTTGTCGTAGTCTTGAAGGTTATGTACATGTCCTCAGAATCAAGATTCCATGATGTTGCAGTGTCTGACTACGGTGCTCTTCGCACCTACTCCAAGGTTGAGGGACTGATTACCTCATCTTCTGTACATAGTTCTACTGTCTTCAAGTTATGTCCTGGAATTTGTATTGATAAAGCCACTGGAGGGCGAAACGTTTACAATAAAGATACCCAGATGTTGCACATGTGTCTTAATTTCATCTTGTCGGTATTGTATACCATTCTTGCACAAAATAAAGTTGAGAGATTCAACAGAGAACCTTGAGAACAACAAAATAAAGGTGAGAGATTCAACAGAGAACCTTGAGAACAACAAAATAAAGGTTAGAGATTCAACAGAGAACCTTGAGAACAAATGAACTTGACAGTTCAAAAGGAAGGCATGTTAGATGTCGCTGATCCACGATGTGGCAGCTAATATCTTGTAGATGAATGGTTCAGAGAACCGACATGTTGATAAATTAGACACATGTGCAACTCTTGGGTATCTTTATTGAGGAAACGTTTCGCCACACAGTGGCTTCATCAGTCCATACCAAGGAGAATCTTGAAGAACAGGAGGAGAATGAGGTAATCAAGATTGATGGACTGACCACATCGACTCAAGGTTGAGGAACTGATTACCTCATTCTCCTCCTGTTCTTCAAGATTCTCCTTGGTATGGACTGATGAAGCCACTGTGTGGCGAAACGTTTCCTCAATAAAGACACCCAAGAGTTGCACATATGTCTAATTTATCAGCTAATATCTTCAAACACTTGACAATAAACTTGCCGAAAGAAGTCCTTTATCTTCGACAGATATTAAGATTCTTCTTCATAAAAGCAAGAATAATTCTGACTGTAATAATGTTGGTAGAATTACCGCCAATATGTAAAGTAAAAGGACACTATTACAACTTATATTACCACTACCACTAGTATAATACACTTCGACAACCTCTACTAATGAGAACGGCTGGATTTGAGAGGGACCTGACCTCCCAACATCTGCGTTCTTACCTCTACTCGCTGTTTAAGGCTCCATCCTATCACTTCAACTCCATATTATTCCAGACAATGGAACAATACTCTTCTCCAGACTGAGGGACTGACCACCTCAAAACTTTAAGGGTGATGGACTGATTACATCGTCTTCAAGTCTCTTCTGCTTCTATCAACTTTTCTGTACTCGACTGAAGAAGCCTACTGTGTAGGCGAAACGTTTCGAAATAAAGATACCTAACTGTTGCCTATGTGTCTTACCTAACAACCTGTCGGTATTTAATACCATTTTAATGTTCATTCTTTTGTCTTACAAGACTGTTGCTATAGCATGAGGATACATAATGCTATGTTGGAATGTGGTAACTGATCCACTTGGATGTAAGACCATGATTAGTCTGACAGACTTAGGATCCGTGGACACATGTATCTTAGGATCCGTGGACACATGTATCTTAGGATCCGTGGACACATGTATCTTAGGATCCGTGGACACATGTATCTTAGGATCCGTGGACACATGTATCTTAGGATCCGTGGACACATGTATCTTAGGATCCGTGGACACATGTATCTTAGGATCCGTGGACACAGTATCTTAGGATCCTGATTATCTTAGGATCCGTGGACACATGTATCTTAGGATCCGTGGACACATGTATCTTAGGATCCGTGGACACATGTATCTTAGGATCCGTGGACACATGTATCTTAGGATCCGTGGACACATGTATCTTAGGATCCGTGGACACATGTATCTTAGGATCCGTGGACACATGTATCTTAGGATCCGTGGACACATGTATCTTAGGATCCGTGGACACATGTATCTTAGGATCCGTGGACACATGTATCTTAGGATCCGTGGACACATGTATCTTAGGATCCGTGGACACATGTATCTTAGGATCCGTGGACACATGTATCTTAGGATCCGTGGACACATGTATCTTAGGATCCGTGGACACATGTATCTTAGGATCCGTGGACACATGTATCTTAGGATCCGTGGACACATGTATCTTAGGATCCGTGGACACATGTATCTTAGGAATCCGTGGACACATGTATCTTAGGATCCGTGGACACATGTATCTTAGGATCCGTGGACACATGTTCTTAGATCCGTGGACACATGTATCTTAGGATCCGTGGACACATGTATCTTAGGATCCGTGGACACATGTATCTTAGGATCGTGACCATGTATCTTAGGACCGTGGACATGTATCTTAGGATCCGTGGACACATGTATCTTAACGTGGACACATGTTCTTAACGTGGACACATGTATCTTAGGATCCGTGGACACATGTATCTTAGGATCCGTGGACACATGTATCTTAGGATCCGTGGACACATGTATCTTAACCGTGGACACATGTATCTTAACCGTGGACACATGTATCTAAGGATCCGTGGACACATGTATCTTAGGATCCGTGGACACATGTATCTTAGGATCCGTGGACACATGTATCTTAGGATCCGTGGACACATGCATCTTAGGATCCGTGGACACATGTATCTTAGGATCCGTGGACACATGTATCTTAGGATCCGTGGACACATGTATCTTAGGATCCGTGGACACATGTATCTTAGGATCCGTGGACACATGTATCTTAGGATCCGTGGACACATGTATCTTAGGATCCGTGGACACATGTATCTTAGGATCCGTGGACACATGTATCTTAGGATCCGTGGACACATGTATCTTAGGATCCGTGGACACATGTATCTTAGGATCCGTGGACACATGTATCTTAGGATCCGTGGACACATGTATCTTAGGATCCGTGGACACATGTATCTTAGGATCCGTGGACACATGTATCTTAGGATCCGTGGACACATGTATCTTAGGATCCGTGGACACATGTATCTTAGGATCCGTGGACACATGTATCTTAGGATCCGTGGACACATGTATCTTAGGATCCGTGGACACATGTATCTTAGGATCCTGGACACATGTATCTTAGGATCCGTGGACACATGTATCTTAGGATCCGTGGACACATGTATCTTAGGATCCGTGGACACATGTATCTTAGGATCCGTGGACACATGTATCTTAGGATCCGTGGACACATGTATCTTAGGATCCGTGGACACATGTATCTTAGGATCCGTGGACACATGTATCTTAGGATCCTGGACACATGTATCTTAGGATCCGTGGACACATGTATCTTAGGATCCGTGGACACATGTATCTTAGGATCCGTGGACACATGTATCTTAGGATCCGTGGACACATGTATCTTAGGATCCGTGGACACATGTATCTTAGGATCCGTGGACACATGTATCTTAGGATCCATGGACACATGTATCTTAGGATCCGTGGACACATGTATCTTAGGATCCGTGGACACATGTATGTTTACTGCCTGACTAACACAGGTGGTTTTAAGTTCTAGAAACTTGAGCACCCAGCAGGCGTGTGTGTTAAATCGGAGTAATAGGAGACAAGATGATTTGACGTGCTGTTGGAGTTAGAATGAGGTAACTTTTATGAACTGATTAATGGACATAAACTTGCAATGGTTCCAATGTTCCAATGTTCCAGTTCGGACGGTCATTAATTTGATATCTATTCTCTTGAAAAAAGCTATTGGATGAATGATGGTGAACGTGTTTTTATTCATACACACCAAAAAAAAATTAGATACAGATAAACCCACACTTAAAAGGTCACCATCAATTTTTTTTTTAAAATAGGCTTACCATATTTACGTACTTAGGGTTATTAAGAATTTCCGTGATAGCGTCGACTATCATATCCACAGTAAGTTCTTCCCAGATCAAAAAGTCACCTATACCAGAGTTCCTGATGAACATGGCGTGCTTGGGCTGGTCACCGAAGATTGGGACAGCGAGGAGTGGCCTGGCGTGGTAGATGGCTTCTTGCATGCTCAGGAGGCCACCGTGTGTCATGAACACCTTCACGCTGTTGTGACCTGTCGAACAGTGTTAATGTAAACAAGAGGACTTACGAAATCGTAATGATACGATTGCAAACAAACCATACCACGGGTGGGGATAGAACCCACGGTCAGAGAGTCTGAAAACTCCAGACCGTCGCGTTAGCCACTGGACCAGCTAGCTACAATAAGATTCGTCCAACTAGGTATATTTCTACACCATAGGAAGGTTAGCATAGGCCACCACTGTGACCAAAAATGCAAGTTTTTACAGACGAATCTCCAGCTAGCGTGGCCATGACGAACTCTAGCTCAAGTCCCTTCACTGCCGTCAACATGACTCACGAAATCGTAATGACACGATTGCAAACAAACCATTCCACGGGCAGGATTTGAACCCGCGGTCAGAGAGTCTCAAAACTCGACAGTCTGGAGTTTTGAGACTCTCTGACCGCAGGTTCAAATCCCGCCCGTGGTATGGCTTGTAAACAAGAGAAATAGTACATTGCACTTGTTAGACATGTGCAACAGCTGGGTATATTGTCGGTATTGCATACCATTCTTGTACAACTTGTTAGGGTTGGTAAGATAAGATTTCGTTCGGATTTTTAACCCCGGAGGGTTAGCCACCCAGGATAACCCAAGAAAGTCAGTGCGTCATCGAGGACTGTCTAACTTATTTCCATTGGGGTCCTTAATCTTGTCCCCCAGGATGCCACCCACACCAGTCGACTAACACCCAGGTACCTATTTGCTGCTAGGTGAACAGGACAACAGGTGTAAGGAAACGTGTCGAAATGTTTCCACCCGCCGGGAATCGAACCCGGGCCCTCCGTGTGTGAAGCGGGAGCTTTAGCCACCAGGCCACCGGGCCTGCCCAGTATGGGCCAACAGGCTTACTGCAGTGTTCCTTATTTCTTATGTTCTTATAGTATATTGTAAATGAAAACTGAATGACCTTTCAGTTCAGCATTGACTTTGTAAATGGTTCAAGTCGGACCGAAACGTCGTGGTGAGCTCCTCTCTCCTATGTGCGGGTTGTGTATTGTGGCTCCTCACATCTACACTGATAAGGGAAATCGAATAGCAAAGAAAGGCGTGCAAGACTGGTATACAATACCGACAAGATGAAAGTTAAGACACATGTATAACATCTGGGTCAGACACTGTCAGACACTGCAGCATCATGGGATCTTGTTACAAAGAATTCTTCAACACTTGTTCAACCTTTGGACGAAGACCTACTTCGACTAGTGGATGGTACCACTATGACGCCGCCTCCACCTGCTTCACCTCACCTCACTACTTCGACTAGTGGATGGTACCACTATGACGCCGCCGCCTCCTGCTTCACCTCACCTCACTACTTCGACTAGTGGATGGTACCACTATGACCCCACCTCCTCCTGCTTCACCTCACCTCACTACTTCGACTAGTGGATGGTACCACTATGACCCCGCCTCCGTCTGCTTCACGTCACCTCTCTACAGTATATAAGCCACGTCTCGGCCCTATGCATGTACATTCTACAGATTGTGGACTGAACACATCGATCTCAGGCTGGGGACTGATTAACCTCATATCACTTCCTACTGCTTCTCTTTGTATTTGACTGTGAAGCCACTGTGTGGCGAAACGTTTCCTGAATAAAGATTCCTATATGATCGCATAAGTGTCTTATTCTTCAACTTGTCGGTTTTTCAAACCATTCATCACAAACCATTCAACACAACATCTGGGTATCTTTATTGTAGACGTTTCGCCCTCCAGTGGCTTTATCAATACAAATCTGGACTAATTAGAAGACGTAGACTATATCACAAAAGATGAGGTAATCAGTGCCTCAGCCTTGGAGGTGTTTACAACGCCGTGGTCGTAGAGATACTGAAGCACAGGTAAGGAGACTGGCGCTTATATAGGCATCAGTGAAGAGAGACGTGTAGCAGACGAGGGCAATTGTATTGATAAAGCCACTGGAGGGCGAAACGTTTACAATAAAGATAAAAAGATGTTGGACATGTGTCTTAACTTCCAACAACAAAAGGCACAATACCGTGACTGGAACGATACACGAATAACCCGCACAGAGAGGAGAGGAGCTTACGACGACGTTTCGGTCCGACTTGCACCACTTACAGTCACAGTGTGACTTTGTAAATGACTGAAGGAGATTACACCAGACTGTAATAATCTTGCGAAACACAACTTACCTTTTCAAAAATCGAGAAGTCATTTTCAATTTCGTTTTATTTTGGTTCAAGATTTACAAAGTCGTTAAATTTTGATCTCCATAATGAAAGCTATTATATGGACGGTACAAGGTTGGTTCAGAGTAATTCAAGGGCGCCACGGTATATTGAGAGGACAGACCAGTGTCAGGAGCCAAGACTGTTCAACTGCCTCAAACAGCATACATAAGGGGGATTACAATTAGACCCCTGGCTGTCGTAAGACCCTGGAAAGTATTCAAGACCCCTGGTTGTCTTCAAGACACTTGGCTGTCGTCAAGACCCCTGGATGTCTTCAAGACCCTGGCTGTCGTCAAGACCCCTGGATGTCTTCAAGAACCCTGGCTGTCTTCAAGACCCTGGCTGTCTTCAAGACCCTGGCTGTCGTCAAAACCCCTGGATGTCTTCAAGGACCCCTGGCTGTCGTTCAAGACCCCTGGTATGTCTTTCAAGACCCCTGGCTGTCTTCAAGACCCCTGGCTGTCTTCAAGACCCCTGGTTGTCTTCAAGACCCCTGGATGTCTTCAAGACCCCTGGATGTCTTCAAGACCCCTGGATGTCTTCAAGACCCCTGGCTGTCTTCAAGACCCCTGGCTGTTTTCAAGACCCCTGGCTGTCTTCAAGAAGGCACTGGACAGGCACCTAAAGTCAGTACCTGACCAACCGGGCTGTGGTTCCTACGTCAGCTTGCGTGCGGCCAGCAGTAACAGCCTGGTTGATCAGACTGATCCACCATGAGGCCTGTTTCTGTTTCCCATCTTTGGAACATTCTGTCTGTCCTCCAGTGTCGTCAGGCCGATTTCCCTTAACCTTTCTTCGTAGGACATTTCCCTTAGCTCCGGGACTAGTCTTGTTGCAAACCTTTGCACTTTCTCTAATCTTTTGACGTGCTTGACCAGGTGTGGGTTCCAAACTGGTGCTGCATACTCCAATATAAGCTTATCTGGAGAGGGTTCCGGAGGTCACCGCCCCCGCGGCCCGGTCTGAGACCAGGCTGTTACTGCTGGCTGCTTGCAAACTGACGTGCGAACCACAGCCCGGCTGGCCAGGTACCGACTTTCGGTGCCTGTCCAGCGCCTTCTTGAAGACAGTCAGGGGTCTATTGATAATCCCCTTTATGTATACTGGGAGGCAATTAAACAGTCTTGGACCCCTGACACTTATTGTGTCGTCTCTCAGTGTACTCGTGGCGCCCCTGCTTTTCAGTGGGGGAATGTTGCATCACCTGCCGAGTCTCTTGCTTTCATAGGGAGTGATTTTCGTTTGCAAATTTGGTACCCATCCCTCTAGGATTTTCCAAGTGTATATTATCATGTATCTTTCTCGCCTGCGTTCCAGGAAATACAAATCAAGGGACTTCACCCGTTCCCAGTAATTTAGGTGCCTTATCGTACTTGTGTGTGCCGTGAAAGTTCTCTGTACAGTCTCCAGGTCAGCAACTGGTAACTCATAAAAAATATAGTGTGAGTGAGGTTGCTAACCATATCACGGGCGGGACTGAACTCGCGGTCAGAGAGTCTCAGAACTCCAGACCGTCGTGTTAGCCACTGTCTGGTTTGTTTGCAATCGTGTCATTACTATTTCGCGAGTCGTGAGGTTGCTATAAAAACACACTTACCGAGAATATCCTGTTGGGGAAGCCACTTTCTGATCATCACGTTGTCAGGAACTTCCTCAAGCTCTTCTTCGTATTTCCAGAGGACTCGTTGTGGCAGCCTGCGGAAAGCCTGGATGAAGAGGTCGCGGTACTGGACTGGCATTGAGGCACTGCTCGCAAAGGTTCCCAAACTAAAGTAGATCACGCCAGAAGATTCCGATCCTGTGATCCATGATTCTAATTCCTTTAAAAATAAGAGTGAAACAACGTCAGTAGAAACAGACCCGAGTCTCCGAAGACAGAACGATTGATCATGGACAGGACCAGTGATATTGCTTAAAGTAGCGTAACAGGATACAAACAAAGGTCAGGTAAACAGGACAACTCACCTGAGACAGACTGCTGGCAGGACGACAGTGCATGGCGCCCAACTCCACCTGCGAGGGCAGGAGAGGCAATGGTGTGCTGATAGAAAAGTGACTATTGAGCAGAGATAAACTCACGTTCCTCTCCAGATCCAACAACAGTGGCAGCTCCGGGAACTGTGCTGAGATCTGAGGGTTACCACAAATACTTCACAACACAATAGTGGATGAGGGACGGATCTGTCACTGCATCACAATATCATGATTCTTCTGTTGTTCAAAGTAACGTTACCTTCCACGCACAAAAGTAAAATTACAACCACGAAATGAATAATTGTGTATAATTATGAGTACACTTTTTCTGACGATCATCAGCTACACTAGCTTAATGTATTGTCTGTGACTATATTGCTCACCTCTTTCTGAATCAGTGGCACAACTGACCATTTGCGCCAGTGAAACAAATAACTAGTGTGTGCCAAGGCATTGCGGAAGCGGTGCCAGAGGCTCATGGGTCTTGGGTAGTCCTTCAAGAAATGAGGAGCATAGGCTGGGTTGAGAACGTTGCCCAGATCGGAACTCTGGCGTGGCTCCACCCCCGACGTTGCAAGAGTAATGAAGGGGACTTCGTGCAGGAAAGGATAAACAATCTGTGGAAGATAGAGTTCTGTAAGCCACAGTACACTGAATTTAACCAGTACTGGTCCTTGAAGGTGAGATCCTCCGACATGATCACTCCCAGGTCTTTGACGTTGGTGTTTCGCTCTACGATTCCAGAATTACCCTCACTATTCTCATCGTACATAACGTAGTGTGAGACAGCAACATTTATCATCTTTCCTAATTCCAGTGTTCCAGGCAACATTTCCAGACTACAAAGCAGTCACCTGTGTTCTCGCGATCACTGTGTCCATCTCGGGGTTGTATGATGAAGAGGTAATTATTGTATTAAAAACTGTTTACTATCAGTGTACATTTTGAGACTGGCCGGGATTTGAACCCCAGCTGTCTAGGAAGCTTCCCTGTAAACTGGCTAAATTCTTGACCCCTAGACCACTAAACTGCTAAGAATATACCTAGCTTCCCGGGAGACTGGCTAGATGAGTTGGGTTCAAATCCTGGTGAGTTGCAGTAGTTTTTTTTTCCTTAAACCATATAAATTTTATATATATATATATATATATATATATATATATATATATATATTATATAATTATATATATATTATATATTAATATATATAATATAAGTATTATATATATATATTTATATATATTATATAATATAAATAATTATATATATATATTTATATATATATATATATATTATATATATATATTATATATATATATTATATATATATAATATTATATTATATATTATATATATATATATTATATATATATATATTAAAATATATATTATATTTTATATATATAATATATATATATATATTATATATATATATATATATATAATATATATATATATATATATTATATATAATATATAATATATTATAAAATATATTTTATATATATATATTATATATATATATATATATATATTATACAGTAAACAGGTGATATCAGAATATGGGAAAACCACCACTGTGAAAGAACAGTGAAATTCCAAGCGCTTTCGTGACTTCTCACATTATCAAGGAACTATAAAAATACATCAAAGGAAGGCATATAAAGGGTCAAGACTACATCTCACCATCACATCCCACAACAAAGCAACACCTGATGTGCGACAACACCCGACTCTTTGAAACACATCTAATACTCTACCCAAGAATTAAGATTTATTACTTGTCTAATGTATCATTAAATTCTTCCCAAATTTTATTAATTATCAATGAATCCAATTTATATAAACCAAAGGAAATATATTGTCAAAACTGCTTTTTATGAAACAAGATTCAATTATATTCCTGTCGACCATGGACTTGCTTGATACAACTTTCTCAACTTTTTGAAAATCAATTGGATGGCTAAAATCTCTTACATGAATAAATAGAGCATTGGAATCTTGTCCAGTTCTAATGCTATATTTATGTTGTTTTAATCTTAGTTCGAGATTTTTACCAGTTTGACCGTAATAAACTTTATCGCAAATTTTACAAGGAATCTTATAGACACATCCATCAGCATTTTGGGGGGAATTCTTTATCAAAAGTTTTTTTTTTACTGTATAAAGATTTTTAAATACAACTTTAATATTAAAAGTCTTAAGAAGAGACGGCATATCAACCAAGTTTTCATGGTAAGGGAGAACCAACATTTTTTTAGTTGAATAAGGCTGGTTGTCCCTTTTTGGATTGTAAAAAGTATTTCTAGCAACTTTAAAAGATTTATCAATTACATTTCTTGGGTATTTTAAATCATTACCTATTTCATAAATTTTGGATATTTCCTCATCTATGAACTCAGGACTACAAATTCGTAAAGCTCTCAAAAACATTGATGAGAAAACAGACAGTTTGACTCTATCTTGATGCGAGGAATAATAGTGGACATAGGAACAGTTATTTGTAGGTTTTCTGTAAATTTTAAACTTGAATTCATTATTACCCTTAATAATTAAAACATCTAGAAAAGGCAATGAGTTATTTTCCTTAAACTCAACAGTAAAGTTTATAGAATGGGCTAAGTTATTTAATTTTCCAAGGAAATGGTGTATATCTACATTTTTGGGCATAAGACACAAAATATCATCAACATATCTGAACCATTTAGCTCTATTAGGGAGTGACTCTAGTGGCTAACGCGACGGGCTGGAGTTTTGAGACTATGACCGCGGGTTCAATCCCGGCCGGGGGTATGGTCTATTAGGGAGGATTGTGTTAAGTAATCTTGTTTCAAAAAATTCCATGTATAGGTTACTAAGAACAGGTGAAAGAGGATTCCCCATTGCCATACCAAACTTCTGAGTGTAAAACTTATCATTAAATACAAATTTTGCATCAACAATGCAAAGTTTAATAAGTTTAATGATAGTAGGAACTGGTAATGGTAAATCATAATTAACGAGTTCTTTAGATAAGAAACTTAATAAATCATCAACAGGAACTTTCGTAAACAAGGAAGTAACATCAAAACTAACCAAGTTAAAATCATTTAAGTCTGTCAAGGACCTTAATTTATCAACTAAATCTATGTTGCTTTTAACATTAAAGTTAGAAATTTGACCAACAATAGGGCTCAAAATGTCAACAAGCCATTTATATAATTTATATGAAACTGATCCTATTGAGCTAATAATTGGTCTGACTGGATTCCCTGGTTTGTGTGTTTTTATTAATCCATACATGTAGGGTAAAGATGGATTAATGGAAGTAAATTGTTTAATTAATCTTAAGGTATAATTTCAGCCTCCTCCACTTGCCATGGAAGGGAACACGACACACATAACATTCACCATTACTTAATGGTAGACGTACTCAGATATCACAGTTTCATTAACCCTTTTAATAGTTACGATGCATCCCTTGAGAGTGCTGGCACTGGACGTATCTCCAGAACTGATTTCCCTGGATTCCTTTATATTTATTGTCTTGTTTACTGCACATATCTTTCAAGTCTTCACTCCGAGAGCATGCGCCCACGCAAGACTGTTGGAACCTCAAGCCACTACCAGTTAAAACCCTCACACCCTCAATTCAATCCTTAGAATGTCCCCATATCAGTCATTATTTCCATCCCGGATTTGTACACCCTCGGTCATCCTATTCTATTCCAGCCTCTCTAAATGCCAAGACGTTTTCAACAACTCCCCATCATCATCTAACATCTATGTACTTATTCTCTGCCAAAGATTCACATATATTGTTTTTAATTTGACGTCACTGCAGCCAATCTCTCTTTGCAACGTATAAAACCCATACCTCACACTCACGAAATACTTGGTACTTGAGTACTCTGGAGTAATACCTTATTTTAGCCTACAAAGATATGCTATTTTTTTCCAAGATGCCTCCACATTCCACCCAAGTTCCTTCCTTCGACAATTTCATGGATCAACTCGTCTTTCACAGATCCATCTATCGACACGTCCACTCCAAAATACTTTATATAGTTTTCTGCGCACCTTACATCTGAAATATCTTCTTAAACCTTACATCTGCTTTTTATAAATTCATAAACGAGATAAAACGTTCGAAATCCAAACTTAAATATTCTCCACTTAAAGAAACTACGGACCTACGTCTCTCATGCCCTTCAAGACCTTCCGTGTTCCTCTACGGACCTACGTCTCTCATGCCCTTCAAGACCTTCCGTGTTCCTCTACGGACCTACGTCTCTCATGCCCTTCAAGACCTTCCGTGTTCCTCTACGGACCTACTTCTCTCATGCCCTTCAAGACCTTCCATGTTCCTCTACGGACCTACTTCTCTCATGCCCTTCAAGACCTTCCATGTTCCTCTACAGACCTACTTCTCTCATGCCCTTCAAGACCTTCCGTGTTCCTCTACAGACCTACTTCTCTCATGCCCTTCAAGACCTTCCGTGTTCCTCTACGGACCTACTTCTCTCATGCCCTTCAAGACCTTCCATGTTCCTCTACGGACCTACTTCTCTCATGCCCGTCAAGACTTTCCGTGTTCCTCTACGGACCTACTTCTCTCATGCCCTTCAAGACCTTCCGTGTTCCTCTACGGACCTACTTCTCTCATGCCCTTCAAGACCTTCCGTGTTCCTCTACGGACCTACTTCTCTCATGCCCTTCAAGACCTTCCGTGTTCCTCTACGGACCTACTTCTCTCATGCCCTTCAAGACCTTCCGTGTTCCTCTACGGACCTACGTCTCTCATGCACTTCAAGACCTTCCGTGTTCCTCTACGGACCTACGTCTCTCATGCCCTTCAAGACCTTCCCTGTTCCTCTTCGGACCTACGTCTCTCATGCCCTTCAAGACCTTCCGTGTTCCTCTACGGACCTACGTCTCTCATGCCCTTCAAGACCTTCTGTGTTCCTCTACGGACCTACTTCTCTCATGCCCATCAAGACCTTCCGTGTTCCTCTACGGACCTACTTCTCTCATGCCCTTCAAGACCTTCCGTGTTCCTCCACGGACCTACGTCTCTCATGCCCTTCAAGACCTTCCATGTTCCTCTACGGACCTACTTCTCTCATGCCCTTCAAGACCTTCCGTGTTCCTCTACGGACCTACGTCTCTCATGTCCTTCAAGACCTTCCGTGTTCCTCTACGGACCTACGTCTCTCATGCCCTTCAAGACCTTCCGTGTTCCTCTACAGACCTACGTCTCTCATGCCCTTCAAGACCTTCTGTGTTCCTCTACGGACCTACGTCTCTCATGCCCTTCAAGACCTTCCATGTTCCTCTACGGACCTACTTCTCTCATGCCCTTCAAGACCTTCCGTGTTCCTCCACGGACCTACGTCTCTCATGCCCTTCAAGACCTTCCATGTTCCTCTACGGACCTACTTCTCTCATGCCCTTCAAGACCTTCCGTGTTCCTCCACGGACCTACGTCTCTCATGCCCTTCAAGACCTTCCATGTTCCTCTACGGACCTACTTCTCTCATGCCCTTCAAGACCTTCCGTGTTCCTCCACGGACCTACTTCTCTCATGCCCTTCAAGACCTTCCATGTTCCTCTACAGACCTACTTCTCTCATGCCCTT